TTACCGCCTACTTCTACTACTCAAGTTAGTAGTACACTTCTTTAATTTTCAGCAGTCAACTAATCTTAGAATCTACTTCTTAAATCTAGATAGCTTCGCATTAGCAACAAATGTCAACATTTAATTATTATTGCCTAAATTACTAAATTATTGTTGATCTAGATTTCTATTGACAAGCTACTAGATTGAACTAGATTTAGCACCAGTAACTAGATCTAGAAAATATATAAACTCACTGTATCTAGAATTATAATTAGGCCTATTATCATTTTAATTTGACTACCCACACTCACGATGCTACAGTCACTCTCTTCTATAGTAACTACACTGGATGCTCAACTAAACTGACATCCACAGTAGTCTACACTTAGACAACTAGTCTGCACTTGTGAACGCGACAGTCTACACAGTTGACTATTCTAGAGTTTCTAGAGCAAGTAAGATCTAGATTAGAATCTAGAGATAACTTACAACAGATCTCTACTTCTACAAACACACTAAAATTCACTAAATAAGTAAATTGGTAATCTATTGATATGGGTATGTATGTGGATAGATCTAGATCTAGTAATGTGAAAAAAGGTGACTCTTTATTATGGCTTTAATACTAGTATATTGTGATATATTTGTGTCTTATATAATAGATAATTGAATACTAAACCAAAATGAATGTTTAAATAATATTATCTATTGCCAGAGTTGTTTCGCACTTTGTCGCATTTCCATCAATCTGTCATCTGTATAGCGGCTATAGCCACTTTGTCTTCTTCAAAGCTTCATCCAAGGGGAAGTTTCTCCCTGTGCGCTGACGCACGGGTAAACATGTTGTTTGGCGGCTGTTTAATTTACGCCGTGAGTTAGAGAGGAGAAATATCTTGCCGGACGTTAGTGCCTGTTGCACCATTTTATTTTTACTGTAGAAAATTTTCATGAATATCTAGTATCTACCTAAAATCCAATTTGTTACCGCCATCCGTGAGCTGAAGGAATATCCGCCCCAATGCGGGGAACCCCACCCACGCATAGCGCGGTGCTCTGAGGTAATATCCATATCCACACCGTAGCGAAGCATGGGTATAAGCTAGTATCAATACAAGCCAGAAATTAACTTTAAACAGCAGTGTTTGAGAGCGAGATTTGCTATCAAACAGCGGCCATCTGTAAATTAGAGTGGTTTCCCCTGAATCTCTATAAACTTTACCAAAAGAAAACTTAAACAACATAGCTTAAATAAGCAAATGAGCTTGGTTGCATAATTATGGTGAAAACAATGACAAAACATTGCTAATTTTTAGTGTTACTGATTATTGAAAAGTTTTAATAAAATTGTTTAAAAAAAATTAGATCTACCTGAATGAAACTTTGTATCATTTTGTATTGTAACTTTTATTTTTTTTTTTAAAACATTTAAACTATTTTAAACCCTCCTAAGACCAAAATTAACATGTTGAATAATTACTAAAATTTAATGAGTCACCTTTCTTTCACATTACTAATACAAGTAGTACGTTAATACTAGAAGTACTCTGAGTACTGTTTGTTTACCAAATCATTCAGCATGAGTAATGTCCCCTGGGACTAGGCTTGTTGACTTACCATGCCGTACGTTAACTTTAAAATAATATAGGGCCTACTTACCGCCACAAAACTGTTCTGCCATGATCGAACGCAAATACATTCAGTTCCTAACCATATAACAAAATAGAGTTGAAATTTTTTTTAAAATTTGTTGCATATTTAGAATTCATGATGATTTTTTAAATCTTAACTAGAAGCCCAAGAAACACGCAGCCGCCATGTTGTTTTTTTATCAATCGAAACATTGTCACAAAAACTTTTTTAGTTTGAAAATTTAACCTCTCCCTGGCTCAATATACTTCAAATTCCTGGAAATGATCGAGACATTCCACGAGGCAAAAGTAATTAATAATTTCATTCATTATTTTCAACGGTTTAGCTTCAATTAAAAAATACAAAACAAGTAAAAATCAATACTTTAAATCAGTGGCGTAGCGAGGTCGGGTGTCACCCGGTGCGGCACTTAATGGTGTCACCCCCTCAGAGGCGTAGCGACTCTTCCCAGAGACAAACTTTCAATCGATTTGCACCCCCCCCCCCTCGAACTTTCGATATGCACCCCCCCCCCCCCGTCAAATTTTTCTCAGTATATTTTACTATTTTTTGCGTTGATGTCACCCCCCTAAATGGTGTCACCCGGTGCGCTTCACAACCCCCCCCCCCCTCGCTACGCCTCTGCTTTAAATCCTGCTTTACCTTTCAGCTTAAACATAATTTTAGCGCTTGCCAATTAATTTAATTTTTATAAGTTTTTGAAAAATGACAAAATAGCAAAATATTACTGATACTCCCTCGGTCAGTCAGCTCCACTCTTAAAGTCAGGCCCTGGGCATTTCTGATTCACCGGTCAGGAAGACGCCAACAACAACTGGACAAGACGCATCAGCACCACAGCCACTAACAAACACGTTGCAGTACCCGGAAGAAACACTGCACTGAAAGAAGCCCCCAGCCCTCAATCACACAACAAACATTGATACAACAACAACAACAACAACAACAACAACCAAGAGGGAAAAAAAGACAGCAGTAAGTAAAGAAGACACGGAGCCTGCAGCCACCACCCCGTCCAAACACCAATTTAAAATACAAATCGCCCAGAGGCGTAGCTAGGGGAAGGTAGGTGGGGCGGCCGCTCCGGGCGCCAACCATAAGGGGCGCAAAACGGAGTTTAAAAAAAATGAAAATCTCGTTTTAGCAGCATTAAAGTCATAGTTTTAAAAACAATAGCACGGCACAAGGCACGGACTGATTTAACCGTTTTCTACATCTATTGTGTGACGCTGCAATAAAAACTGTTGAGTGGGGGCGCTTTTTAGTCAACGTGATTAACTATTTCTAAATGGAGGTTGGTGTCACCCGGTGCGGTCCGCACCCCCCCCCCCCCCTCCTCGATACGCCTCTGGCTTTAGCGAGAGTATTGTCGGGCTTTGAATGTGTGTAACGGATGGGAGGTAACTCACAAGTTCTTAGAGCCACCTACCTACTTTGTTTAACTTGAGACGAGCTCTTTTAACTTATTACACTTGTATTCTATTTAAATACATAAAACTTTTATCCTATAAACATGCAGAAAAAAAATTAGCATTTTCTTAATTCAAGTGAATTAATTCATGATTTGATATTTAGTTTCTTGAAAGCCTAGTAGTTGGGTAAAAAATTATCATTTGACAGCTGACATATAGTACAAAAAGTGTGGCAATATCGTAAGCTGCTTGCAAACAGTTGAAAAATATTTAAATTCTATTACAATTAAAAAGATTAAATACACCAGTAAAAAATTAAAAAAAAATAACACATTTTTGATTAACAGCTAAATCTAAACTAACAGGTTCAGGTAAATTTCCGCCCTTGTTCAGCATCACCAGTTGCCACCTGCAACTGTAAAACTGTGATACAGTCAGGGGATGATGTCATTGTATTTAAGTGAGTTTTTTTTTTATTTTAACATAAATTAAGAATTGCATATTCACTTTTTGCATTTACTAAAAAATAGTGTGTTTTTTTTTCAATTTTATAACTATTCTTTAAACTTATCATTATTTATGCATATAAAAGGTTAATCACTTGAATTATATATATATATATATATATATATATATATATATTGTTACAATTTTTCTAAAATTGGATTTTAAAGTTTAACTTTTTAAAAATTTCCACTAAATTTTAAACCATTTTCAATTAGGCCTCTATACAAAAAACAAATTACTTTTTAAAAAAATTATTTGAATTTTAGTTCTTGTGATGCCAAACAAAACCGTCTACGGTCCGATGCTGCAGCTCTGAATGTCCAGGTTATTCAAAATGGGGAGCTAACTCCTGGAACTAAGATAAAACAACTTGGTGGAGGTCAACAGTATGATGTAGGCTATTTCAACAATTAAAATCATAATTTAATATTGCTATCTATAAACACTGTGATGTTGACTATTATTTGAATTATCAAAAATTATGATTTAATTTCAGTATCTATAAATAGTATAAACAGTAAATTTAAGGCTATTGCTTGTAATGTTAAAATCATGATTTAATTTCAGTCACTATAAACATAATATAATAAAATATTTTCAGGTAATTTACTAGAATGGCACATAATTAATTTATTATATTGTAGCAAATTTGTTTTCTGTGTCTAAAAATATGATTACATTTAGCATTAACCGATGAGCACATGTGTTTCAGGTTCTTCTACCAACAGGAACTGTTGTGTCTGTGATGCCAAGCATGTACACCTTCATGAACATTTTTATTACAGCTTCACCATCTGACTTTAATGAGACAGAAGGTGATACACATTTTATCAAACCACATGATTCTGTGTGTCTTAAAGTCTTACTTAACTAGTCATATTTTAATTATATATATATATATATATATATATATATATATATATATATATATATATATATATATATATATATATATATATATATATATATATATATATATATATATATATATATATTGTAAATTAAATATAAGTTTCATATTGAAATGTGTTTAATTATAAAGTTATGCTGTGTTTTAATTATTTTGAAATTATGACTGAATAGTTTATTCTAGTTACTGGAAACTAATTTTATCATCACGAATAAAACGCAGATGTGATGGGAGATATTTCCTTGTTATGTTACATTATTTTACTAAACGTATTGTTTTCACAGGTCTATGTGGTAATTTTAATGGTAGAACAGATGCTGATATGGGCAATTTGAATGAAGACACATTTAACTTGCATTGGAGGTTAGTTCAAATAAATGTTATTTTTACTTTAAAGTAATGTAGTTTTTTCCAATCTAATTAATTATAAAAAGTGGAGTAGATGAAATGTTATGAAAAATCTGACATTAAAAAGAAACTAAAAGAAAAGATTAAACTGAATCATTTAGACATACATGATTCGGCAAATACTTGTAACTGTATGTTTATCAGAGCCAGTACAACCATCTACTGTGGTGTACCAGCGGTACCAGCACAACAAGATCCTGAACCAGCAACATACAGTAGCTGTACTCAAGGCTTTACACCCATCTCTAAGCCTGGATTGGATGTTCCTAGATGCTCATCTGATAGTAAAATTAAATATTTTTTCTTGAGTGTTCTAAATGTTAAAAGCAGTTAAGTAAACCTAGCATGGATGCAGTGTTTCTTCCAGACTTTTTTCTCTGGGGGGGGGGGGGGGGGGGGTAATCTCTTTGAAGAGATGCCTGAAAGAAACTCTGCATGGATGTTTCTCGATGTTTATTTCCTATTAAAAAATTGTTCTTACACTTTCTAAACATCCTAAACAGTACACAAAATAGCTGTCATAAAATGAACCAAATCTTTTGGACTTTATAATTTCTTTTTGGTATTTTATCTCACTATTAGATAATGATATAACAAGTGCTCTTAAGCTCCAATCCATGACTAGTAGCAGTTGTACCTCAGAAGCTTCTAGGGAAAAAAGACAAGCTGCTATCTCTTCTGTTTGGGTGAGTTTTTCTTTTGTCTATTGCATTTTCAAATCTTTTAAATAACACTAAATAAAATTTTGAGGTTTCCAAATCTCTGGCATTTTATGTAAAATACATATTATAAACCAGTGCCTTCTAATAAAATGGAAATCGATAGGGCCAATTTTAGAATTGTTAATTTACAATTAATTGAATTTTGGTTTATGAACTGGTACTAATATTGGAATATGCTTTTGTGAATATTCTTTTTAAATTGACCAATAATGCATATTTGTGAGCTTAAGCTTAATGTGCCCAATTTGTATAGCCCCCTAATCATAAACCTATACATATATGGGTCCTCATAATAGGACTAGAAGAAAAGAGGTTAGCTTGCATTTTTATTGAGAAACAGTTGTGTTTATAAACAAAAAGGAGCAAGTCAAACTATTTCTGTAATGTGTTTTTTTTTAAATTAAATCCTATAAATGGAAAATATTTAAGCATAGGCCTAAACAATTTGTATTTAAAAAATGTATATTTAACATTATTATATTGAAACAAAAAAATAATATTTTTTAATATAGCAATATTTTAAGATGAAATTCAGAGTTTCATTTAGTTCAAAATGTATGATATCATTCTTAGACCACATTTGCAGAAGCCGAGAGAAACTGTTCAGATTATTTGAAGAACAGTAGGACAGTCAAAGCCTGCACAAATCAACTTTCAGATGACAGAGTTAAGGAGAGTATAACCAACTGTGCTTTTGATCTGGTGGTAAAAATAGCAATCTTTTTTTATGCTAATGTTAGTTCTAGCAGTTTAAAAATGTTATCAATTAAAATTTCATAAACAAAAGAGCACAGGACTGTTTGATTGGGCTGTGTCACATGTTAGTTCTAGCAGTTTAAAAATGTTATCCATTAAAATTTCATAAACAACAGAGCACAGGACTGTTTGATTGGGCTGTGTCACATGTTAGTTCTAGCAGTTTAAAAATGTTATCAATTTAAATTTCATAAACAACAGAGCACAGGACTGTTTGGTTGGGCTGTGTCACATGTAAGCAACCTGGCAGAGGAGTGTATCACACGAGCTGAACATAACCAAAGTTCATGGACAGGTGAAGGTGACACACCCGGTGAACCTGTACTTCCTCAAGCCATTGTCACCCAGCTGTGTGTCAGGGACTGTGGGGACAACGGACATTGCCTCAACTGTAAGTTTTCTCTATCCGTAGTTGAAAATATTTTTTTTACTGGTTAGCAGAAATTTACCTCTAATATTCTAAATATTTAATTAGTTTTCAATTTTTACTAACTAAAATATCAAAATATTTTTTTTTTATTTGTTTCACCTTCAAGAAAATTTTGTGAAACATTTCCAGCGTTTTGTAAATGTGAGAATGGCTATTTTGGTGAAAGTTGCCAGTTTGGACCAGATACTCTACCATATATTTTTGGAGCAGAAAAAGCTTGTGACATAGAAGAAACAAATTGTGAGACTGTTACTATCTGGAGATTACTTCAGCTCATCATACAAATTCTCATGCAAATTAAACTTTGCCTCAGTAAGAAAAACACTGCATTTCATTTATTTTTAATATTTTTCTAGCTTGAACGTTTTTTTAATATTACAAACCTATGTGTTAAATTTTTTTATTTACATATAGATCTGTCTGATTGAGGTTTTATTTGTTAAAGATATTTAAGATAGCTAGATCATTTCTATTATTACAAAATAATATGCTAATAGTTATTTAGCTACCTGTTGTATTTCTGCTGTATTCTCTGTTTGTTGTACTTGAACAGATTGACACAACAGCAAGAAAAACAGAGAGCAGTGCTGTAGTGAGAGCAGAGTACATCAGCATGTACCAAGTTGGATGTACACTCCCTACACGACGCAGCGCCTACATCACCGTCACAAATGATGGCGTCCGTCAGAGTGAAAATGTTTACCTTCATGTTGTCCACAACTCCAGCTGTCAGACGTGTGTCATCAATGACAACAAAACTGATGTGCATTGTACTGTAACAGTAAGTGGAAAATTAAAATACTTCCTCTTGTAAAAATATGAATTCATGAACTGTTTGGAAAGAAATGAAAATCAAATAAATTGTCATAACAAAAAATTATTCAGAAATTTGGAGAAAACTATTCTTTATTAATTACTCATAGATATGTTAGTTCTTTAAAAATATGATACAAAAATATGTTTTTTACTTTCCCTGCTTTTTCATATATTTTGCATTTATCCTTTAGTGAACCCTTTTTTAAAAAGTAAAATTAAGTGAAATAATATACATCTTATTTGTTTATCATTCATTTATGTAAAACAAATAAGATTATGTTGACAAATTGTTACATTTTTTATACAGAACAGCACATGTGCAATAGATGGACAATGTTATTTTCAAAATGAAAAAGACCCTGATGATTCTTGTAACATCTGTGTTGCCAACAGTAATGTACACATATGGACTAGAAAAACTGGTATATGTGGCATGGTCTTTATAATGCTTGTATATATGATTAGTGTCTTATAAACAGTATTCCATATTTAGGTTTTAAATTATTTTAAAAATCTTAATTTTATTTTAAAAATGATACAAAACTAACACAGATCAATGTTATTTTTTTATATGTATTTGAAAAACAAATAGTGCATCAAAACAAATAATTTTTAATATGATTTATTTTTTCTTCTTTTAGATTGCAGTGACAGTCTTTCTAAAACAGCAATCATCCTGATCACAGTGTTCACAGTTCTGATTGTTTTGGCTGTAGTCATTGTTGTGTACTACGTTTATAGGAAAAAGAAATGTTTCACATGGAGCACAGAGACAACTGCTGTAAGTGATCAGTACGTGAAGGTCTCACTCAAAGACACAGAGGCCTCTGAAGAAAAGATTTAAAACATATAGGGTCTCACATACCAGAGCTAGGCATTCAGAAACCTGTTCACTAGAACGTAACACACTAAATAAAGCAGCTTGGTACATTCTCATCAATCACCTACAAACAATTCATTGACATTTCTGATAGCAATTATCAGAATCCATAAATTACATACTCATTTATAAATCTAAAAATAACCTTGATATTGTCTTGAATGTAAATTGTCTTTCTTATGGACTAGTCTTTTTTTAAACAGAGATTATGTATTTAGGTTGTATTTTTTTGTTTGTATTTTTTTAATGTTTACTGCACTCAGTTTGAATCTTTGACTTTAGTGATGAGTATAGCTACATGGGTTTTTGGTATTTGTGGGCTGTTATTACATTATACATCCTTTTATACAACAATATATATTGCTTTATTGTTATAAAATCCCATATTTAAACAATGCCTTAATTCAATTTAATATTTTTATTTGTGGGACTGTAAAATGGCTAACTTGAATGTTTACTGGAGATTTATTTCTGGTAAAATAAATGCTTTCAAAGATTGTTATTTAGTGGAAATCTACGAAAAAACTTAACGCGTTGAACTATTCTAAAACATTCCTCTATTTACCTTTGTGATCAACATTATGCTGTTTATTTTAAAATCTAAACTTTTTACATTTAATTTTAAAATATATTGTTATATTAAACTTTGCCCACATTTAATATAATAATTTTACATGTGATAAATTGTTGTGGCTTGGTATGTTACATGTTTTTTCTCAACTTTCAGTGTTTTTAATCTGCCTTAAAATTTTATATTTTTAACATAATAGATACGTTATTTTCTGGTATTTAAGTTTTTAGCCATAATGGTAATGTATGCATTTATTTCTACATTTTGTGTGTGCTTTGTGAAAAACTGCAAGTCATTGACATACTAGAATAAACCCTTGAAATTTTAAAACTTCTTACATCAATGTTGTGTACAAGATCAGTTCCTCAGAAGAACTCATGGCTTGTCATATTTTTCAATGTTGTTAGAAGACTTAAGCATTTTCTCTGGCATATTTGAGGGTATAAAAAAAAATGGCACCATCTAGATGTTACTTAATCCTAGTCACTCCCTGTGGAGTATAGGGCATTCCATTCCGTCTGGGCGAGCCACTTCAGTTCATGCCAGGTCTTGCCAGTAGCCTGCACTTCTTTTTTCATCTCTCCTCCAGTGGTCTTCCTCTCTTTCGTTTTCCAGGCGGAGTCCATTTTAGCACTATGTTCGGGAGTATTCTATTCACGCGAAGGACATGACCCAACTAACCCAATATCCTTATTCCTACTTCTAAGACAGTGTTTTTAGTGCATTATACATACACGCTTGTTATTATAACGTTTTTTACGCATTTTTTTTTCATTATTTTAAACCTTTAAATACAATAGAGTTGCGTGACTAAAACTATTGCGTACCAAATGAACATGAAAATGCGCGTATAATAGCGCGTTAAAAAGGACTTTATATGAAAACTAGCCGTCTCTGGCTTCTGTGAAAAACCTTTCTGTTAAAGACCATTACCAGTGTGTTTAGTAATCATCATAAACCCGGCATTGCCCACCCAAACCACAACCAACCAAAACCAAAACAACAAAACGCAAACATAACGCTAACACAATTACAAATACAAACGAAAACAAAAACCTAACAAAAAACCCGACCACAACCACAAACACCAATACAAACACAAAGAAAAAACAAACAAAAAAGCAAACGAAAACAAAAACATAACAACAAACACAAAACCACAAACACCAATACCAATACCAACACAAAAAAACAACGAAAAAGCAAACGAAAACAAACCAAATCCAAACGCAAAACCAACCAAAAACACAAATACAAACCCAAAGAAAAAAACACAAACAAAAACGAAAAAAGAAAGAACAAAAACGAACCAAATCAAAACGCAACCACTAACGAAAACCACCTAAATACAAAGAAAACACTAACGCGAACATAAACGCCCGGGGCGGAATCACCTGTTTTAGCTTAATGAACGACAATAGTACCCCAACTTATTCATAGTCTTTTGCACTCACTTAAACGAACGCGCCTGTTTCAATTTAATGAACAATTATAATACTCCAAGCTTATCCGTAAAATACCTACAACATTTGCACTTGATCAATCCCCGCTAATTATGTAATTATTTTTTTCCCAACACCAAAACAAAGTAATAAAAAGTAAATTCTTTTCCACTAATGCAATGGTTTTATAAAGGGAAGTAATTGTGTTTTCCTAATGTATCAAAGGGAAGTAAGTGCTATAGGACGAAATAAAGACATAATTAGAATTTTTGTAAAAGATGATATTTTTTTAAAACTTGTGTTTAATGAACATGCCGAAAATTATTACTTTCAGTTTGATAAATGAAAATTATTTCCCAAAACTTTCAATATTAATTTTTTAACTCATAAATTTAGACCATAAGGACTTTGATTATCTAACACTTAAATCCATCGAAGTATGTCAACGACAAACAAACAAACTTATTTTTACATACAGAATTGAGCTTTATATATTAGATTTTCAATTAATTTGTAAAAAACTAATTTAAGCATCACATAAAGTCAAATTTGATGTCATATTGCATTGTCATCGGGTTTTGACCCACGTGCCAAGTTAGAAATTTCGCTCGGCAATTTCGATCCACGATGTACAATGCACAACAGACAAACAGACAGAGGAGGCAAGTTAAATAAAAGATTGTAAAAATGTCTATATCCTGATTGTACTGGAGGTGTGAAAGTTTAGGGGAGATCACTCCCGCCTTTTAAAATATAATTCTTGTGATATAAATCTTGACTTTCTTATGACAAGGGATTATTTTTTTCTCCAAAACTTTTTACGGTATTAAACATGTACTAAATTTGCCAGACTTGTTCTGTTTTATTGTTCATTTAATATAAAAGTAATGTATTGAAACATGGCTCATGTCTCGTGTTTACAAGATAACATGGTAAACTATCAATTCCGTCAATAATTGACAAAAAGCAGCGAATAATATCTAATTTCGTCTATTTTAGATAACGGAAATAGAGTAAAATACCGCTTCCGGATATCAGATGTCACTAAAAAAAATTAAAGTAGTTTTAATTATAAGATCTTATACTTATTTATGAAACTTCATCTAACTGAAACGGTGCTAAAGTTTGCGTATTAACAGACACACAGACAGAAAGACGAGTTGCAAAACTCAGATTTTCCTACTCAGGAAGGTGTAAAACGCTGAATTTGTTAAAATATCATTTTTAAAAATCTCACAAAAACTCAACAAAATACAGATAGTTTAAACATAGATATTAGATTTATAAAATGGCCAGGCCTACACCAAACCGATTTTTAAAACAGTCCCAGTGTTTTTTATGTGCTGCTATATCAATAACTCGAGATTTAAGATCGTGGATATTAATTTATATAGATCTCGTGAACAGTTAATTATATTAAAGAAAATCTTATTTTCTTCTTTTTAGTGCATATAAAAAAAACTTATCCTAAGTTTTTTATTTAAACATTTTAATGTGATACTTTTAAGCGTGGCTAAAATACGTGTCGAATTGGAAACCAATTGTTTCGGTAGAATTGGTTGAAATTTCGATCTTAACTTTTGACAAATTATGGTAAAAGCATAATGAATCTTGTTAAATAAAAGCTGGTTAAAAAAATCCTCGTTTTAGACTCTTATTAAAAACCAAAGCTATTTCTAAAAATAAACGTTATGTGATAGGCATTCATGCGGAGATTTTCAAAAAGCCTCCAATATCAACGAAAACGAATCAAAATCTAGGCTACGCTTGGAAATAATTTACTTTCATGTATAACATCTTTTAATTCAGTAGTATGAAAATTTTTAAATTAAAAATCTTAACGTGCTGAACGTTATTACAGTATATATCTGGATGCTTGACAATCAATAAACGGGAAATGAGGAAAATAGTACCAGTTATTACTAAACTTCGTGAAGTTCGTGTTTTGGTAAATGGAAAAGAAGTATCTTTCTCTTAAGTCCGCGTATAATCAATCCCTTGAGTATCATCAGAGATTAATTAGCCACGGCTCCCAGAGGACAGACAGCTAGGTTTTGGGGTGGGAGCTTCCGTGTTTTTCTGGACACATTGTCGAAGTGACCTTCACGCGAACTGTGTTACGGAGGAGGTTTGCCTGCATAGAAACCTAACTTCTGACGGTTGTACCTGGAGTGGCCAGAGCAAAAATCACTAAAAACAACAATATAAAACTCACATGCATACACACTACTCACCATAAACGCCCAAAACACACGCAGTAGACAAATTCATACACCATCCTGCTCCACAACAAAGACACCATAACACCTCTACACGAAACATGAACCACGATTAAAATCCATATTCCAGAAGACTAACCACACCTCACAACATCAATCACATAAATCCACAACCAACCTCTTATCGCATAACACACACACAATACTTACCCATCTAACTGAACCTACATTACTACACACACAACACACGCAGTACACCAATCAACACACCACACCGTTCCACATTAAAAACACACTGCCCCATCCCATCCACGCCACCCAACACTCATATTCTTACCTATACCAAACCATACCCCAAACACACACACGAAACCCTCTAACACACGATTCACATACTAGCCCATCCTACACAACACACACTATCCCATTGAAACCACCCCAACACACAGCACACAACACACACGCAGTAGACCAAACTCCATAACTGCTCAGGTCGACCTTCTTCAACCTGCAGTCGTTAGTTCTAGCACTGACGCCCCGAAGTTTCACAGGGAACGTTAAGGTTTCTTCATCAGAACACTCAATGCGCTAACTCCGAAACCAGGCTGTTTTTGTTTTGTTTTTTACTTCGGGCCATCCTGATGGCACAACGCCTTGAAGTGGTGGGATGGCTTGTGTGCCCCAGCTACCCCCAGAGCTATGCCGGCGGGAGCCTAGTGCTTCTGGCAGGTTTCACCATGCCGGTCAGGTCTGTGTGGGTAGGGGCCAGACTAAACGTTGTGCCCCGTGGGTAGGGGCCAGACTAAACGTTGTGCCCCGTGGGTAGGGGCCAGACTAAACGTTGTGCCCTGATCCTCCTGGTTGGGGAGTTAATTGTTACTTCTTTAATTAAAACCTCAACGGTTTTTAATGCCCAATATTAATGTCTAAATCATTACAATTTTACATTAAAACTAGTTTAGGTTTTAGGTAAAATAAAGTCAAGTTCTTTTTCAAAACTGACGGTCTATGGCGCAAGTGAAGTTGAGTTCATCTGTTTCTGTGACCTCGACATTTGAAAGGATAGTGTGGTCAATATACCCAGCCGCCTTTACTTTCCTTAACTATAGAACTACAAATTTGATATAGATCTAATACTTTTGTATGAAATTTCGTCATTATAACTGAAACGGTACTCACAGACAGTTCACAGACACAGACATACTCACAAAATAGCAAAACAAAGTTTCCGATTCAGGAAGGCTTAAAACGTCGATATTTCGATTTCGTTATTTACAATACTTCCTCTACACTCCGTATACGAGAAAGTAAAAACAACTTTGAATTTATTATATGTAGAGGCATGTTGATAAAGTCAAATAAATATCCATAAACATTATTTAATTTTTTTTTTAAAGTTACCTGTTCAAACATGGAGGTCTATCGCGCAGATAAAGTAGAGTTTAACGGTGTATGTATTGTCGGCACATTGAGGGATAGTTCGGTCAGCAATGAGATCAGCCAC